AACCGGGCTTCGCTCTGATGTAGACCGGAGTGGTTTTGTGGTTTACATGGATTTCACCATCAGCACGTAGCATACGGCTTGCATTCCTGAAGAATTCATGCACAAGATATCTATGCATCCTATATATTGCATAAAACGGGTAATGAAAACATACAAAATAAGGGAACCCAGAAAAAAAATTAAAATCAATTCATCCAACAATGTGTTCACATTTCATTCATCAATTGTGTTTGCTGGTGGGTGACCGGTTGGTTGACCGGCCGGTCGACCGGCCGGTCAACCAGTAAGACAAATTTATTTATTTTTTTTAATCTGTTTGAACCTTTTTTACCGGTTTGAACCGGTTTGAACCTACCTTTTTTTAAAGGAAACCGGTCGACCGGTTGGTCAACCGGCCGGGCAACCGGCTGGTTGACCAGTGTATCTCTTTCAACGGTCAGTAACAGTGATTTGGTAAAATCTATATCTTGTTCTCAGTTTGATATTTTTTTTGCTGAATTCTCATTTTGATATCAATTTGGTGCAACGGTTGGAGCATAAAAAAGAGCATTTTTCATCAAAATTTAAATCTGATGTCAACTTTAGTTCACCGTTGGAGATGATCTTACAGCATCATTTTGAATGGGATGTACACAGATATGGTCGATCCCACGAATTTAGAGTCCAAGTCAATAATCCTCGGTTAGATAATTATTGTAAACTTGCAATTTATTAGAATGTGAATAGTTGTATTCATTTTAGAGTAAATTATATCATAACCATTCAATTATGGAGCAGGCTTGTCTCGTGGAGTGGAAGGTACTGTTGGGTTTGTGGGATCTACCACAGATCGTATTTTGTTAATTTAAATCGTTCAATATGTATAGATCGTTGAGTATTTTATTCTTGCAAAAAATTACGTTGATCAGATATTGATATTCCGTTAATCAAATCATATTTTTTTCAATGATAAATAAAATTTTAAAAATAAATTATTGATAAAAATATGTTTTGATCAAGGGCTATCGATATCTGATTAACATAATTTCTTACAGTGATGAAATATTCGACGAGTTCTACACATTAAACGATTTGGTCATCAAAATGGGACCTATGATGAGCTCTACGGGCCCAACAACACTGTCTAATACACTTTGTAGGTTGAAGACAAGCCTTCTCCTTCGACTATTAATGAATATTGTTTTATATTTTTTATCTATGAATTCGTATATTTTGACTCTCTCAACTATAAAATATATCATTTTTACCTTCTCCAAATCACCTCCAAAAATGATAAAATTGTATAATTTTTATAGTTGGGAAGTTAATAGGTACGTATTCATAAATGAAGTAGGTAAAGTGATATTAATTAGTAGTTAAGGGGGTTTTAGCGTGATTAACCTTTCTTTTTATTTGTGTTTAGATTTATTTTTTCAATTTTATTTAAACGCTCTCACTTTCAAGCTTGACAATTTATGCTTAAACCCCCCAAAATGAAAAAATTCAAGTAAAAAATAAAAGTATGACATTAGCTATTTATATGTTTTCATACAATTAAGATTTATTTTCAAATGCATTAATTTTTTATTTTTATCTTTACCTTGTGTAAAAGTAAACAAATCTACTTCAAAACTAATCCCAAACACTAGCTTAAACTAATAAAGAAAATCAGGGACTAAGGTGCAAATATGACTTCCTGATTTCCCATGCTAGAGACCACCGTGGGATCATTCGAGATTGGGGATATACTAGTCTGTAAGACCAAAAGAAAAAACTTTTAAAGTGATGGAAAAATTATAACTTCAATTATTAAAATTGTTAAGTTTTACCATTGATTTGAAATTTATTTTGGAAACGTAATTGAATTGTAATTTCCTCCTTCGAAATCCTTCTATTAAACTTTCTGGGAAAATTTTCAAATTAGTGGAACAGTGAATTAAAAAAAATTCTGATAAAACTCTGACATAAAAATTTACACCAACCAAAAAAATTTGTACTATGCACAAAAAATATTGTACCAACGTAAAAATATAAATATTCTTTTAATATATCCCACCTTGTAATTTTTTCAAAACATGTTTGGCATTTTTTGAGGTTATTTCTCAATTATCCTATCTATCTTGTCAGTTATATCACAGCCCACGATCTTTGGACATCATTTCATTTAATTTAGGCATATCTTTTTTCGTACAAGATAAGTCTTAAAATTTAAAATTTATAAATTCATGTAACACAAGTTATTGTCATCATTTTATTTTAGGGGACTGATTTTCTTCCGGTTCGGGATCATATTGAAGGATACTGTTGAGTTCATGGAGATCCACTATTAGTTCTGTTTTGATAATCTGAACCGTTTAATATGTAAAATTCGTCGAGTATTATATATTTGTAAAAAAATCAAGTTAATCGGAGATCAATAACTATGTGATTAAATTAGTTTTGTGTAAAAAAAATAGACGGTGAAAAAATAAACGGTTGATAGAAATCTAATCCGATGAGATAGCTATCGACATTCAATCAACGTGATTTTTTACAAGCATATAGTACTTGATGAGTTTTACACATTAAACGATTCGGATTGTCGAAACAGGACTTGTGGTGGGCCTCCATGGGCCCAACAGTATTCTCCAGTTCGATCAAGGGCTGGAGGGAAGCCTAACCCTTTTTTAATAGTGTTTATAAGCTTATCGAGAACTGAGGAAATACTTATCAAGTTAGTTACTTATGTAATATTGGTATGAATATGGATATTCAATAGTGTATGATCTGTTATTTCTGAAAACAACGTCGATTTGGGGGAAAGAAAAAGGGAAAAGGGTCAGACTCAAGTTCAAGTTCCCAGATAATTACGGAGGATACAGATTTGGTATTATACAAGTGAAATATACTGATTCAATCCTTTTGATTAATTACTATCAATTTATTATTATCATTATTTATATATATAATTTTTTTAGAAACTACTTTAGCCTAGATTTATGTAGAAAGGGAAAGGGAATCGCCCTCAACGCTCTATATGGGATTTGAACTCACAACCACCTCTATGAGGATTTGAGAGCTTACCAATATGGCACAATGTTCCAAATCAATATGCGGATGGGACATACCTTATGTGATAAGGACACTTAATTTTTTATATCCTTCTTTATTTTTCAAAGAACGAAATTTACAAAGATTGAAAGTTTCCTTCTGAAATCTCTACCCCTATGTAATACTGTCTGTCTATAATGACTTGGAAGCGTCTTGGGTTGATGGGTCAGACCTTGCAGGAGAAAACAAGAAAGGTTTTCGAGTAATTTGAAAGCACTCAAGGCTTCCTTCCAACATTTCCACCACGTTAGTCATTGTTGGTCGGTTTGATGGATTGATTTGAATGCACCACAATCCCACCAAGATCATCTTCCTCACCGTCTCTTCTTCCTCTCTGCTAGTGACGATGCTGTGAAGTTTTACATCCTTACCATGTTCCAGATGCTCATAAATCCAGTGTGGAAAGTAATTTTCACTTGTTTCAACTACTCCCAATTTCTGATCTCTTCCTCCAGTCATTTCAAGAACCATCATTCCATAGCTATAGACGTCGGATTTATGAGAGACTTGGCCAAAGGTTTTAGAAAACACTTCTGGAGCAATATATCCAGCAGTCCCTCTGGCACCCAACATTGATATCACACTTTGTTTCGTTTGGCATAGTTTAGCAAGACCAAAGTCTGATATTTTAGGGAGGAGATCTTCATCATGGAGAATGTTATGAGGCTTTATATCAAAATGCCCAATTCTTGTGCTACAACCTTGGTGCAAGTACTCTAGTCCTCGTGCAATGCCCACTGCTATTTGGAACAATGTACTCCATTCCAGGCGACAGTTTGTACCCTGAGATTCTTGGTTGCGAATGAACTTGTCCAACGATCCTTTGGTCATAAATTCATAAATTAGAGCTCTTCTATTTGCTTCAAAACAGAAACCCAAAAGATTGACTACATTGACTGTTGAATATTGGCTATAGATTCTGGCCATGTGATGGAAAGTGGCAGCCAGCTACATGGTGGGGAAGCCATGAGGCCATGTGAGTTGGCCATGAGGCCATGAGAAGCCATGTGAAGCATCAATCTGGAAAGCCACCGAAAGCACAACAATGGGCTGGCAGCCAGCCCATTTCAAAGACTTTCTCTTGCATTTGTAATCTCTATATATAGAGAAGCTAAGGAGAGTTGAGAGGTATAGCTGAGAGGTGTGAGCTTAGAGAGAGCAAAGAGAGAGAGAGAATTACAGAGAGTGTTGTAATTCTTACCATTTTGTTCAATATAGTGAATCCGCTGCCCGTGGACGTAGGCGACTTGCCGAACCACGTTAAATCTTGTGTGTTATTGCTTGTTTGAGTTCCCTGGTGTGCCCCCGATCCTCAACACAGTGTCCGCTGCCATGATTCATGAAGGCCAACTGGATGAAGATTCTGGAAGTTGGGATTCCTGCTCTCCTTGAAGATGGAATCAATATGCTCAATTTATGCTGGGGAGTATGATCTCATGTGCAACTGGCTTGCTATACTTCTTCAAATTATATTTCAATCTTATGTTCCTTTAACGAGACCAGACACAAAGTGATCTCTTATCAATAAATGAATAAACAAACAAATTAAATTGTTTGAGTTAGGCTCAATTTGATTAAAAATCATTCAAGATCGATTCAAAACGTAAATAAGTCAAACTTGAATATATTTCAAAACTCTTCAAGATTAATCATTCAAACTTAAATAACCTACTATTCCGCTGAACTTGACGTAGCTAATTTACAATCCAAGTTTGAAGCCTGCCAAGAGTTCCGAGAATACCACATGACCGTGCACCACTTAATAATAAAGGGTATGTGCCCATTTTTTTAATTAAAGCAATAGAAGTAATTACATGACCGTGTGCCATAACACAGGCAAATAATTATGTACCTATTTAATAGTTTTTGCTTGATAAACAGGAAAAGTGTCTCTTTGGCTGCATTTGCAATCATGGTGTGTTTTGGTTTGGGCAGGGAATTATAGATGGGTTAATCTCATGCAATGGTCTGGTCAGAACAACTTCACAACTGCTGCTGCTGTTCCATTTGTTGTTGATGGTGCACTGGGAGGAATCATGAAAAGCTATGGGTCCCTCACTTTCCTCAAGGTCTCTCTCTCTCTCTCTCTCTCTCTCTCTCTGTGTTACAAATTCCAAATTTTGACAAATTTCTTTGTTGCAACATCAATCAGGCATTTAATGCTGGTCACATGGTTCCAATGGATCAACCCAAAGCTGCACTAGAAATGCTGAAGAGGTGGACACAGGGCACACTTACTGTGGCAGGGGATCAATCTAATATTCCCATCTCAGACTTTGGTTCTCTTCATTTTTGAAAACAAGATTCATTAAACCCCACAAAATTCACGAACTTCTCTGTTTTAGTTCAAATACCAACCACAACGAGCAAACAAAAGAAGCTTTATTTCCTATTGATCCTCCTACAATACTGAAAATGGTCATACTCAAAACAAACCCAAATAGCATTGTCATTAGATTCTTCATTTCCAGAGTCAATAATCTGGACATGATGTTTAAGTTTTTTTTTTAATTGTTGTACTTAAACTGTTTCTGATATTATGTCGAAAAGGCTCAACAAAATAAGATTTATTTGAACTACATTGAAGCATACAATTTGAATAATAACATGTTATGAACCAACTGTTAATACAATTCTCTCATGGTCTCAATTGCAGGTTGGAAACCAGAGCGCAAAGGAACAACAGATACAACTGGCTGATGCTGTGCGTTACCATTCTTTGGTTTCGATAGCGCCACTCTCAACATTTCTACCTCTAGGACTTTAGCGGCAGTCTCGACTAGATAAAAACATCCCCAATCAAAAATAGAGCCAATCCAAATCAGTTCTGGAATATGGAAGGGTAATATAGAAGTAATCTTCACACATGAATGATTTCTTTCATTATCACTATTCCATTTTCTAGAATGCAACATTAATTCAAAGGGCTGTTTTCAAATTTGAAAATTGTTTTCACACATATACATACTGTGGGGACATAATTTTTGAATGAAAATACGTGGCCGAGGTTTCACCGAAGTGCCAGCCGAGGTGTCATGTGTCTTGGTCATGATTGGAGATGATCTTGGCTAGGCCGAGATTATCTGCGAAGAAACCGGAATTCGGGAAAAGCGGATAAAAGACAAGAGTTTTAGAATGAGAGAGGATTTCAGTTTGGGTAAAGATAAGACTCTTAGAGAGTTTATCCCAATCCTATTGGGAGTTCAAGATTAGCAGTAATCCTAAGTCCATTGAAGTTAGGTTTGTGTTGGCTATAAAAGAGAGGCACCCTCATGGGTCTAAGGTCGTTCGGACTTAATCTATTCTGTCAGTGTTCTCCAGCTGAGTGCTTGATTGGCAGTGTGGTCGGAAATTTGACACACACAATTTGGCGCCGTCTGTGGGAAAGAAAGGAGAATAGATGGCCAACGACGGACAGAAAGAGAGGGCTGGAGAATAATGCTTAGGAGTTGAAATTTAGAAAAATTTTAACACTTGTTGAAATTTTAAGAAAAATTTACAAGTTGAAGTTAAACCGAGATCATATTTAACACTTGTTGAAATTTTAAGAAAAATTTACAAGTTGAAGTTAAACCGAGGACATGTTTAACACTTGTTGAAATTTTAAAAATTTACAAGTTGAAGTTAAACCGAGATCATGTTTAACACTTGTTGAAATTTAAATTTACAAGTTGAAGTTAAACCGAGGTTAAACCGAAGTCATGTTTAACACTTATTGAAATTTTAAATTTACAAGTTGAAGTTAAACCGATGACGTATTTAACACTTGTTGAAATTTAAATTTACAAATTGAAATTAAATCGAGGACATGTTTAACACTTGTTGAAATTTTAAATTTACAAGTTGAAGTTAAACCGATGATATGTTTAACACTTATTGAAATTTTAAATTTACAAGTTGAAGTTAAACCGATGACGTGTTTAACACTTGTTGAAATTTAAATTTACAAGTTGAAGTTAAACCGAGGTTATGTTTAACACTTGTTGAAATTTTAAGTAAAATTTATAAGTTGAAGTTAAACCGAAGTCATATTTAACACTTGTTGAAATTTTAAATTTACAAGTTGAAGTTAAACCGATGACGTGTTTAACATTTGTTGAAATTTAAATTTACAAGTTGAAGTTAAATCGATGACATGTTTAACACTTGTTGAAATTTTAAATTTACAAGTTGAAGTTAAACTGAGAACATGTTTAACACTTGTTGAAATTTAAATTTACAAGTTGAAGTTAAACCGAGATCATGTTTAACACTTGTTGAAATTTTAAGAAAAATTTACAAGTTGAAGTTAAACCGAGGTTATCTTTAACACTTGTTGAAATTTTAAGAAAAATTTACAAGCTGAAATTAAACCGGGGTCATGATTAAAGGAAGGAATGACATAGGTTCAATCGCCTTAGGATGCCGAGGTAATGGAACCTAGGGGGCAGTTGTGGGAACATAATTTTTGAATGACAACACGTGGCCGAGGTGTCACCAAAGTGCCAACCGAGGTGCCACATGTCTTGGTCATGTTACCGAGATGATCTTGGCTAGGTCGAGGTTATCTGCGAAGAAACCGGAATCCGGGATAAGCAGACAAAGGACAAGAGTCCTAGAATGAGAGAGGACTTCAGTTTGGGTAAAGATAAGACTCTTAGAGAGTTTATCCCAATCCTACTAGGAGTCCAAGATTAGCAGTAATCCTAAGTCTATTGAAGCTAGGCTTCTATTGGGACTAGGTTTGTGTTGGCTATAAAAGAGAGACACCTTCATGGGTCTAACGTATGCTTTTTATGCTTTGAATAGTGAGTTGAGCACTTTTGCTATCTTTGAGAGATAACTGATTTGATCGTCGGAGTGCCCCCGGGTGGACGAACCACCACCGGAATCTCTCATTTTTTGTGATAGGTCATTCGGGCAATCGATTCTGCCAGTGTTCTCCAGCTGAGTGCTTGATTGGCAATGTGGTCGGAAATTGACACACACACATACACACAAAAAAAAAATGTAAGTGTTTTTGGACTTCTTATTGATTTTGTTTCTAAAAACACAAAACAAAAACAAAGAAAACAAAAATGATAAACAAGCCCACATTTTCTGCTTTAGTTGTTTTGAAGAAGTGTGAAAGAGAAAAATGGAGAGAACTATAACTTTAAAGAGACCAAATTTCCTTTATAAATCAAACAAATGTATGGAAACTTTTGAGGTAAGGAAATCAAGTTTCAGAACTTCCATTATTTTTCATAGTTATTGCGGTTAATAAACAGAGACATTTCACTAGTCCTTTTCATTCTTATTGATTGCTAGGAAAATTGCAGGAAGGAAAAAGATCCGGACCCCCACTAGGGCATGAGGATCCTCTAGAGTGATCTCCTACAGTGATCCATCGGAGGGTTAAGATTCTCTCTCTCACAAAAACAACGTCGTTTTGGTGTGTAATTTGAAAAAGAATTTTTTTTTTCAGATTTCAAAACAGAGAGAAGGACTGAGAGAAGAGAGAGAGGGGCTGAGAGAAGGAGAGAAGAGGAGGACGTCGCCGGCATGACTCCGCCGCTGCCCCGGAGATCTGGAAGATCTTCTGTCAATGCCTTCATCTTCGATCTCTTCCGCCACCGCCGCCGCCGCCGCCGCCGCTCCAATACCTTTGGTTCAATTGCATTTGCAAACCACAGATCTGTCGACAAGCTGAACCCTAGTCACACCGTCATCTTTGATCTCTATATCCATTGACCGAATCTGCTGATTCTGTTGCTCATTTGATTTTAATGATGATGGGTCCTGTAAATCTATGGGGTCTGTAAATCTTCTCTCCTATTTGCTAAATAATAATTATAAAAAAAAGTCATATTATAATAAATCAAAATTAGAAGATCAGTTGATAGTTTACACATAATTTTTAAATTAATTTTATTTTTTTCTTTGAATCTTGTTCCCAATATATATATATATATATACACACAGTTTGAAGCCTCTTTCTTTTTGTTCTATAACACAAACACCCACATGTTTATTGATGTAAAATTATGGAGTTGATATGATTAATGTTGTTTTTATTTCCTGCTCTATAACACAAACACCCTCCTGGTTATTGGATTTTTTTTTTCCCACTCAAATGAATAGCATATTGTTTACTTTCTGTTATGATCAATGTTTATTGTTTATGATCAATGTTTATTGTTTATTTCCTGTTCTAAACCTTAAAACCAAATGAATGCTTCAGATACACAATGCTCTGTTTTTATTTCCTGTTCAAAACTTGATTTGGGTTTTTTTTTTTCGGGTTTATTTTTATTTCCTGTTCTAATCTTTTCTTTTCTTTTTTTTTTTTTTTTTTGTCACTCAAATGAATAGTATATATCATGGACCATGATCTGTTTTTTTTTTTTCCTTCAAATAGACTCTGTTTTTTTTTCTTTTTTTCCTGACCAAGCATTTTTTCAAACAGTTTTTTCCAATAGATTTTAGAGTTATCTTTCGGCGATGGATGGAGGCAGAGGGGAGGGGGAAAAGATGGTTGGTCGGAGGAGGGTTAGGGAGCAATTGGAGGCGGTCGGTGAAGGTGGGGGACCAGGTGGCCGCCACCTCTGAGGAGGGGGGGTTTGGCCATGGAATCTCTATCTTCTCTTCTCTCTTCTCATTCTGTTCAAGTTTTTTATTTCTTTTTTTTTTTATTTCCTCATTTGTCGTTTTGGTAAGAGATTGATCTCAACCCTTAATTTCATTAGTGGGACAGGTGTCTCGCTCATCTCCTTTACTGTAGGAGATCACTCTAGAGGGATCACCCTAGAGGATCCTCACGTCCCACTGGGGGTCACCCCTACGACCCCTACTGGCCTTTGATTGGCCTTTTTTTTTTTGTGTGTGTGTATGTGTGTGTGTGTGTGTGTGTGTGTGTGTGTGTGAGTTTTTTTCTGCTCCAATCACCAATCCCCACTTGTGTGTGGGGGTGGTGGGGGTGGAGGCTTGAGGGGGTCTCGATCACTTCTGTTGCAGGAAATACATTTGTGGAACCTAAGAAGGCAAAACCTGAAGTCAATTATAACCCAATACAAATTACTGATAAAAATATCATTTTTAGAAAACAAGATACCCTAAATGCAATTTTTTTTTTTTTCAATCAACTACATCAACATTAAGTATGAAAGAATTGTTTGGGTCAGCAAAGTAATTGAACCTGTCCAGTGAACAAATTTAAAGAATTAAATTCACGAATACACCCTCACAATGTTACTTTCAACGACACCCTAAATTGCATTTTCATTCAAAAAACCAGATAAAAAATATCAGGAGGAATTGAGATATGAACAATTATGGTTGTACCTAATGCTATAGACATTTGTATTAAAAGCCACAAACCCAAAATTGAGAACACTCATAGTCTACACCCTTCTCCTAATCCTAGAAAGTTTCCCTGTATTCTCTCAGAAACCAAACAGACCACCAAGAAAATTATCACCCATAAAACATAATTATGAAAAGAAA